ATTTTTTTCCCCAAAGGGGAGTTTTTTGTGTGATGTAAAAAGCTTAGCTTCTTTGTTAAAAAATAATTCCTGCATTTTTACTTGCTGTTAATCTAAAAGAGAATCTATTGGCTTCGTAACATTTTTTTTAATTCATGAATCACACTGTTCCCTGCCACTCGCATACAAATATTCACCATGACCTTGTTGCTTAATTTCTTGCATTGGAATTGAATAAAAACTTAGACTAAAAGGTCAATTTTAAAATATGCATAATAAATTTCCTGACTAAAAGTGATGCCAGCAACTTTCTGCACCATTTCTTCTTGCCTCATTATTCACATAGACTTCCCTGAATTTTAAGGAGCAAAATATAAAAGAGCAGTATGTGGGCCATTGGGGCCAAGGAAATTTTGTCCATGAATAAGGAACCAATGGCAGAATGAATGAGATTTCTTAAATTAATGGGGTAGTTGTAGTGGAGAATGTCATTGGGCACTTAAGTCTTTCTTACAGAATGAAAAATGGAAGCTTTTACGTTATTTTAAGAAATTCCATACTTTTAGGACTTTCCCTATATTTGGCAATAATGTCATAGTACCGAAAGCCCCATTATGTTGGAAATAACTGGTTTTTAAATTCCATAAGATGACTACAATTATCAGGTTTTTCAAGTAAAATGTGGTAGGATAAGGAGGGAAATTGACAAAAAGGACAGGTGAAAGGGTGGCTGCAAACACAGAAGTCTGCATGCATTCTGCAAATATTCATTAATAAAAGTGATTTTTTATAAGATAGACTTTTTGTCGTTGTTGCTCTTTTTTGTTTTTGAAAACAGATTCCCATAGCCCAGTTATCCTTGACCTAACTATATATCTGACAATGACCTTGAACTTCTGATTCTCCGGTCCCCACTCCTGGGTGCTGGAATTACAGGTGTGCATCACCACACTAAGTTTAAATTAAAATAGAACTTTTCTTTAAAAATAGGTTATTCAATAGACAAGAATGAATCAAGATCACAAATAATTAGGTTTAGTGTGGGCAATTCAGTGGGAGATCTTAGAATACTCAAACTAATTCCACCAGCTTAATCTGGTGTAAAAAGTAGATTTAAATACAATTAAGAGGTCAGAATTGAAGGGCAAGTCCTTAAGTTGTTAGAAACAGCAGGAGTTCTAGTAGTAGTCTACCACACAGCCATCTCCAACTGGGAAGTGCTTCAGCTTCAAGAGTTCCAACTCAGGATAGTTCCCCTTATAGCCTTGGTTTTTTTCATTGAAACCATATGTTCCAAGCTCTGTCATTATGTGCTGTGTCTTTCATTGTCCTTTCCTCACTGGTTTCAGACAACTTCATAGTCCTTGGCCTTCTGTTTTTTTTTTTTTTTTTCTTGTCTTGATCAAAATATTTGCCTTGGATTGGCGCCTTGGAGGCTTGCCTTGGCCTTGTAAATATTACTTCCTTCTACAGGCAGGAACGTGAAGAATGATTTTACCAGGTCTGTCCAGTGTGGAAGTGGGACACAGGTAAGAGAAATGTTGGCATATCTGATGTGTAGACAGCTCAGGACCACATATGGAACAGAGCAGGGGTTGCTAGAGGCTGGGAAATGCATGTGTTCCTGCAGTGTGGTGTAAAGGGGCTGTTTGCTCGCTCAGCAGCAGACTGCATGTCTCCTCTGAACTCATGCAGCAGACAGGAGATGGCAGTTGACAAGAAGGACAGATGTGCATGCCTCCAGGGGTTTTTAGTCTAGGAAGGATTCATAATGTTAAATAACTCAGCATGAAATTAGCTATTCAGATGGAACACTGTTCTATCACAGAAGTTTTATACTTACAATTTTTTATTTTTGTTCCCACCAAGTCCTGTCTATTAAATATTCTCTCGGTCTTTAGATTTTAAAGGGTATTTCTAAAATAAATAGTTGCTAAGGTACAAGTTATACATTTCAAGTTCTTTAACTTCTGCAATCCTTTCTCATATCTGGATGGACTCTGTCAGTGTGGTCTCCTCAAGATTTTGGCTCTCATTGAGAAGCTGCAGGCCTGTTCTGAGGACTCCTCCTTCTCAACTACGAATGAGCATGGGGTCTGCTTATGTTCTCCAAGTTATTTCAGGGTAGATCTAGTTTTTATTTTGCTGTGTACAGAGTCCTTGCTTTTCGCACACCGGGAACAAGTCCTTGGATGTGTTTATTTACTCATTAGCTGTGAGCAAGAGTGATGTTTCCACGGCCTCTTTCCTGGGCTGTCAGCAGAGCGGTTTTGTATACAGTGGGAAAATAACACATTAGCTCTGAGTCAGTGGAGCGTCAGCAATCACATCTGCTTGGATAACTGTTTTGAGATGAATTTTGAGACTTTGGCTGGGGCTCACCAGAAAAGAAAATCATGACTGATGAGTGAAATCTGCTCTGGGCAGGAAAGGGCAAACTTGTGCTACCTACACCTGCCACTTCTTGTCCAGCCCTTAGACAAGGACCCCCTAGGAAGGAATTGGCCCTGTGGCTTAATTTTTAATCTGTGCAGAGAAATATATATTTTTTTTCTGAGTATAAAATTTATTTATATTCTGCTTAACACATTCACAATTTCAAATAACTTTAAAATTTATATAACATAGAGAAATATATTTTAAAAGTGACACCAGTATCATAAATTTAAGAAATTAGTGTAATCTCAGCACAGGACTCCTATATTCATGCTCACACATGCTTTTAAAGTAACTCTATGCAGTTTTCTTTTCTGAGATATGATTTTCAGATATACTGGAGAGCTTTTCAATTTAATGTAAAATTAGAACATATTGTATGTTTCAGTGTGTTTGAATGTGTGTGTGTTTCTCTACAGACTGAGTCAGAAGGCAAATACATTCTTTGTGGGTCATGGTGAACGGTTTGAAAGTCACCACTGAGACCGCAATAATCCCAGAGCCTTAGAGGAGTGAAGAATCATTTCTCCCTGTGCGCTGACTTGGTGCATGCCACCAGTCACATCCCATCTATGGGTTGCTTCATTTCAACAGTTCAATAAATGTGCAGGGAGGCGTGACTGTAAGCAGGAATAGTCAGCAAGGCTGGCTCCACATGGGACATAGAGGAGCATGAGGCAACACTCTTGCATTATAGCTTCAAAAGCACACAAGCAATGTGCACCTCCTCCTTGTTTCTCTGTGAGTAAAAGTCCTAGTTTCCAATCCCAGTGAAACCGCCCTGCCCTTTCCCCAGAATACTGCCATCAGACCCACACCTGCTTCCACCTCACTCACCTCTTACATCTCATAGTCACGTGAGATTTCAATCATTGAAAAGCCAATCACTGTTGCTGTTGGCTCAGACCAAGCTAGTGCTATGGGTAGCCAGTGCTATTTCATGGACCAGTCACTAGATGACAGAAGCTGCAAGCTGATCAAGGAAGGAAGGAAGGAAGGAAGGAAGGAAGGGAGGGAGGGAGGGAGGGAGGGAGGGAGGAAGGAAGGAAGGAAGGAAGGAAGGAAGGAAGGAAGGAAGGAAGGAAGGAAGGAACTGATCTAAGCCAAGGTTCAAGAAGCATGACCCAACTTGTATTTTCCATTATAGCTACAGGCTGCAGGTCAGGGTCTGACCCGAATAGGGGCTTAGAGGGAGTTCCTTGCAGGGTTGACTTTAACCTTTGTACCTGAGCCCTTACGATTTGCAAGCTTATATTATTGCTATAAAAAAGGCGAACATTTGCTTAGATGAGTCAGATAGTACACAGAGAGGGGGACTGCCCTTGTGTAGTTTCAAGCATCAGGCAAGGGTTGTAACACCAGCAAGCAGTTCTTCAGTTGTCAGCAGGAACTGGGGATGGGAACTTTTGCTTTGAGAGAATGCCTGAGGTAGTCATCCAGTGTTTCTACTATCATTCACAGGTGATAGTCTGGGTTAAGTATTCATCCCCACTGACCCCAGTGTTTACATGTTCACCAAGCTTCATTAAAGTTTACACACACACACACACACACACACACACACTGATGCTTGCAGGTTAAATAAGACATGCTTTAATAGTAAACTTTTTAAATGATGGACATGTCTTTTGCTTGTAATGAATAGGCTTCTAGTTATGAACCTAGAGCAGTCTACAAACTGGAAGATGGAGACATAGCTGAGCCTCTATTGAGTAGAGAGTGGTGGCAAAGAAGATGCTGCCTGCCCGGCTTTGGCTCTGTCTCTTTTCCCCTTCTCATTTCATTTGTGACAAGTATTGTTTGTGGCAGCACCTGGAGGTATTGCACAAGCTTTCCTGCTGAATCAGTGAAGGAGCCTGGCTGTCCTCTCTCCTGAAGAGCAGCAGATGTCTGTTGGGAATGGAAGGGATGCATGGAACCTCTGAGCTCTGCATTTGTACTAAGAAGATGAGGAAGGTCCTAGACATGAGCTTGTCACCATGGCACCGGTGTGATCTTCAACTGTCCCATCTCATTTCTTCCTGCTCCTCAGAGGTCTTTCTCTATCACTTCTCTTTATTTTCTCTACTGCAGAAGACACATAGTTCGCTACTGGCTCTTTTTCTCCAGCAACTAGATACCCATGATGCAAGTTATCTTTATTTTTTTTTGTTTTTTTTTTTTTTCTCATTTTTACAAAGTTTTTAGGTAAGACAAGCAATTCTTATTTTTATAAATAGAGCAAGAGGGATCCAAAACAATGGAATAAAAACCACTGGTTCAGTTTGTTTAGAGAGTTAAGAGAAAAGTTAGAGGGAGAACTTAATATGACTGATTGTTGTTTGAAATCAGATGTGAGATTTAACACCTCTTTATTAACTCTTTGAGTAGGAACACTGTTTATAAGAGATTGGTCATGATGAAATACAAGTAATAAACATTTTCTTAGAAAACCACTATAGACATGCACATCGATAACTGTTTTTATTGACATCCAGATTTCAGTGTCACATATTTGCATAAATAATAACAATAATTCTAAGAATTTCTGTGCAGAACATGGTGTTGGTTCAACTGATCTCTTTTCTTTCTCTATTTATGTTTTAAGCCTCAAACTACTGTAGCACCAAGAAGACAGTGACACAGTCATGGGTAAGTACAACATGGTGGGCAGGTGATCCTTAAGTCATAGGTTGTTTGGCAAGGTGTAGTTTAACCAGTGGTATAGGAGAGGGTAGGAAGATGAGTAGGAGACATCATGAAAGAGACATGAAGACATTTTTATGCACCAGCAAGCTTATGCTTAGTATTGTCTACTCTATGACTGTAATGTGTTAGCATTTAGAGTTCATAGCTGGGGTTCTTCCCCACACTCAATGATTACAGCCCCTGCTACTTTACAGCTAGAAGGGGGTCAGGAAGCAGGCACATGGTGGACTAGGATGAAGAAACAGGCCTTCCTCAGCAGGCTGTGTTCATTTATCTTTACATCCAGCACACTAATTTTCTGGTGATATCAGGAAATGTATGGTCCATGAATTAATACTTCATCTTTTAGTGAGGTATATTAAAAGTGACTGAGTTTTTAAGATAAAAGATCTTTCCACACAAACCTTATGGGTGTGTGTCATGATTTTCATAAAGGCCTCTGCATTTCCAAAGGTCAGAGTGCTTACTTTTAAGTTTTGGGGTGTTAATGTATGAGGGCCTCATGAATTACCACTTCTCATTTATTTATCCACAGCCCATGGAACTGCTTGCTTTCAAATCTAACTATTAAGTCAGCGATTCTTATCCTTTAAAATATCATGTCAAAGTGAACCGGTGCCATCCTGTCATAGCACTGGAAGATAATATGCATTACAGAGAGAAATCCAGTGGTAGGAGATACTCAGAGGTAGGTAGCCCTTGTTGTCAGGCATTTAAGGAAGTGCTAGACTCCAAGGCAACACTGACAACAGTTTTTGGTGCTTCGAAACTAAAAAGATATTTTTAAGGTAGATGGACTGATTAATTAAATTAAAATGATCAGAACTGAATTATATAATTTAATGATTTACATTAGCTTTCCAATAGAGTATAATAAAGCTTATTTACTTTGATAGAACATAATTTTCCCTCAATCTAAAATTGAGATACCATTTATAGAAAGTTTAAACACCAACATCTCTATTTTGTGGTACTGAGGGTTGATCCCCAAGGCCTTGCCCTTGTGCAGCAAGTGCTCCTTTGCTCAGCTGTACCCTAACCCCAACCTCTTGACAGCCCAGAGCTTCCTATGGAGACATTTGGATCTCTGCACACTGAGGTGATTGTTCACGGTGAACAATGAACCACTGGGCGGATAAGGGAAGGCAGAGGCACATGATGGGTGCCACCCTATAGGTTAGATTTTTATGGCCATGGTCCAGAGAAGAGGGTGGTCAGTTTCCACAGTCACGACCCCAGATCCATCGTAGGTGTTAGAAGTACTGACCAGCGTTCCAAAGGCAAGCACATCATTTGCTGAGGGGAAAAAAGAGAAGCAGATCAGTGAAAAATTTGTCACATTAGTGAAAAAATAATTGTCTCAGTGTAGACCAATTTTGTCAACAGCCACAATGATACAGCTGAGAATATACTTTGAAAGATGCTATACAAAAGCAGAACGGAGGAAACACGTGGTGTAGGGTTTTAAACCCAAGAATTTCTACAATGTTCTCTACCCATTCTTAGAACTTGTCATTATATCATTAAGTGTCCTGGGCTATATATTATTATTGACAATAGATTCATTACCTCCCCCTTTTCTTTACTAATTCTAAACTCAAAACACATATCTGTAATGTGTCATTTACTTTCTTGCTTGCCTGGGTAAGTTTTATTTATTTTTTGATGGTACAGAAATATCATTTTATAAAACCATTAAATTCTAGAAGGCACAGTACAAGTCATAGGGGACAGAAAACTAGATACCTAAAAAAGCATGGAGTTTGGGTCATTATTTTTAACTCATAAAGAAATGCCATGGTGAGCATGGCTTACGTTCTGGAAAATTAATGGGAACACAAAGGTCAAAGCTGACTTTCAGATGTGTAATATCGTAGAAGTTACAAACTCAGCTCAAGATGAAGGCAGGAAATAAAAAATATCCTTCAAGCTGCTTAACTATCTGAGTCAGGTGTAAATTTGACTTGTGTAGTTGGAGTTTGTATATGTCTTAGTTGGGGTTTCTATTGCTGTCAAGAGACATTATGACCATGACAACTCTTATAAAGGGAAACATTTATTTGGGGTTGGCTTACAGTTGAGAGAGGTTCAGTCTATAATCATCATGTTGGGACAGGGCAGTGTGGAGGCACACACGATGCCAGAGAAGGAGATGAGATTCCCACATCTTGCACAGGCAACAGGAAGTGAACTGACACACTGGATATGGTTTTAGACGTCAAAACCTGCTTCCACAGTGACACACTTCCTTCAACAAGGCCGTACTATTCCAACAGAGCCACACCTCCTAATAATGCTACTCTCTATGAGCTTATGGGGGCCTCTTACATTCAAACTACCACAGTATATTTATAGATCTTACAGGTACACACATGTAAGTATGTATTTTATTTCCGAAGAGGTTAGCACCTTGGCACAAGTCAGCATCTTCTCCCTTGCTTATTCAGAACATTTCATCAGTGTGACTTCAAATGACTCTCTTGCAAATATCCTTTGATTACCAGGATTTTCTTGGCTAAAATGTGACTAAACCAAAGCGAAGCAGAAAGTGCCCTTTCCTTCAGATTCTAACTATGCAGTTCATGCTTGAGGGAAACAGTCAGTTACAAGGCTCAGTCTCCACTAGAGGGGGCCTGCTGCCTTCCTCAGGACATCTTGAAAATGCAATTTAAATTTTCAGTCCTGCCAAGTCAAATCACAGCACTGGGTGATTTTTTTTTTAAATTAAAATATATGTTATTTGCTTTTTGTAGTTGTCAATGTCTTTACTAATGCAAGCAAGAAGCCATAAAATAGAACTGTCTGGGCATGCAGAGTGCTTTCCTATGAACATTACTGTAGCATGCAGTACACTGCAAGAGCTTGTTTCTTCTGATCTGGAGCTTTAGGAGATGAGGTTTCTAAGTGAAGGGGATACAGGCATCAGTATTTGCAGACAAACACTGTTACATGATGTAGATAGTGGGGTTTGGGTGGGGCTCATGGTGGGGTTTACAACAGTCTACTTCCTAACTCTAGATGATATCCTACTTCCTATAAGACTGCCCCCACAACCCAGTGGCTTTCTTAGACACATCCCAGAACTAGGGGTGCAAAGCTTTACAAATTTTGTAGGGGGCAGTGTGGACTTTTGATAAATCATAAGGGCAAAAGAGGATGCTTTAGAAGTTCTGCTAATTTCAAAGAGGAATCTCTATAGTGAGAAACTAAGTACACACAGTCATCTGAAATTGACACAATGTGTTGTAAGTCTGGAAACCAATTAGAGGAAAATCCTAGTCTTAACTGAGCTCAAAAGATAACAGTATAAAATTGTTGCTGTAGTTGACAGCTGTGCATTAATTCTATTTTGTGAGGGCTCAGACTTCTAGGCTTTCAGAGCTAGGAAACCACATCATGTACCCTTCTTTTTCTACAATAGGATGCATCTTAATTAGTTTTCAAAGGAGAAAAGAATTGAAATGGCTGTGTTAGGACACATAGGATCAAAGTCTTTTCATAAAACACTTTAGTGAGCAAGGCAACTATAATTTAGGTTTTATTCTATAATATTTGCTATTGTATCAACAGCTAATTAACAGCAATAAGTATGTATGATAAGCTTCCAGCTTACAGGAAATAACTGAGAGTAGAAACTAAAATGAATAATCTGAAATACAGAACAATCCATTTAAACTTACAAGGTCATTGGCCTGAGTAGAACCTGCCGCTGTTATACTGCTAAATGGACATACTGTGCATGTCAAGTTGCCTTCTCAGTACTTAGTCTGAGCACATAGATTAGTGTTGCTGTCTTCTTTGGTCACAGAAGCTTCCTTTTGGAATGAGTTGTGGTTACTGCAGAGACTCATAATTGCTCAGTGTGCTGAGAATGGTTGAATGCTCAGCCTGCAATGGGACATCTGGGTCAGGCCCTCCAAGGCTCAGGGAACTTCCCAGAAGAAAGGGTGGGAAGAAAGCAAGATCAGAAGGAAGAGTGCTGTTGCTGCGGGACTGCGTCTTCTGCACATGGCGTGGACACTGCTCTCATGAACACATTATTTGCAAAGACTGCACAAATTTGGATCCATCAACAATTATACCATGGGCAGAGTTTCATATTATCAAGAACTAAACCTCAGAAATACAAGAAACACTTTTAAGACATTTCCACCTTCTGTTCCAGGTTCTCTAGGGGTGAGGATGAGAACTCTAGGGGGTGAGGGCTTGCAGAGAAAAAGAATCTTTCTGTCAAAACATTGGGAACCCCTTCACGAGGAGGACAGAGGTGAGCGAAGTTACTGTGGTCTCAGTTTTCTTAGCTGGAGAATGTGAATAATAATCCCTACTTTACAGGCATGGTACACAGAATACAGGATCCAATTTCTAACATAAAATAAGTACTCAAGAAATTTTCTCTTCATTTTGTTTTCTCTGGCTATTCTACTGAAAGAGCATGATAGGATTGCCTCTTAAAATCAGAAGAAAGGGACACATACTGATTGAAGCAGTTAGCAAATGCCATCATGCAAATGATTAGCATATAGCTGGCTGAGTAGAATGAATTAAACTCACACATTTTCTAAGCTAGCTTCTGTGAAATACTTAAAATCATTCTAGGTGCCACCTTGGTCATATATATGTATGCCTTTGTTTGTTTTCTAGATACAGTTAGTCCTCTAAATATGTAAGCTCTATATCAGCGGTTGAAATCTGTGTCTGTCCTGGACATGTACAAACTGTTTTTCTTAGACTTATTTCTTGAACAGTACAGTACAGAAACTACTTACATTGTACTTACATTATTAAAAATACTACAAGCAATCTATACCTTCTTGTGAAGAGTCTAGCTTATTTAGACGAAGTGTATGTATAGATTATGTGCAAATACTGTGCCATCTTATCAAAGATGGCTCGAGAATCTTCACCAAATGGTACTCATGGGAGTTCTGGGGCCAGGCAGCATGGATATGGAGAGATAATGACATTTATTAGAGTTTGAACACAGAAGCTACCAGAGATCAAAGATGAGTGTCTTTGCACCTAAGGGTCTCATGTTTTAGTATAAATGACAAAACAGGATGGACACAGTCATCTGCCATACCCGGAAATAGTGTCTCTTGGCTTGATTACATAGAATCTGATTATTACTCCACATACATGCTTAGCCTTACATGGCAGGTTATAAAAGGTACACGACACTCGGTGTAAGTTATCTCAGATGATTAAACTCTAGGTCAACAGATACTTGAATTCTCAGCATGCTCATTCCCAAGGGCTGAGTTCACTGCCCTATAGGCCAAGGAATACCTAGAAGAAACTGTAGGAAGACTACTGAAAAGTAAAACTTTAAATAAACCAAGCTTAAAAGCTTCATGAAAACACACCCTGCGTCTGATGAGGCTAATGAAGAAGTAGAGTACTGCCGGAGCTGTGGCAGATAATCTACTTGTATTCCTTTAAAGCACTGCTTCTCCTTCTTAGCCTCTTACCTCACATCTAGCCATGCCATTCCTATGGGAAGCAATAAAAATGAATGATCCTAACTGGCAATGGGGTAACTATCAGATAAAACAAAGCAAAGCATATCCCCAGACCTACCCACAAATCTTGGCATAGCAGTTAGGACTTCCTATCACCTGGCTATTTCTTACCTACTTGCCAGCTATTCCATGCAGGTACCTATTCCTTGACTCCATCATGAAATTTCCACTTTCATGGAAAATTTTGTGCCCCCTCCAGGAACAACTCTAGCCTCTCTTCTGCAAATTGAATCCATATAGTCTGAACTCACAGGTCCGGTCCTAGTCTCCATCACTCTTCACCTTAGAGTGACTGACTTCATAGTGCTTTGGTGGAAAATGACTTGGTTCCTCCCCTAGACCACACTTTTGTTAGAGCTGACTATGTAGAATCCCAGTTTAGGGCAGAAAAAGTGCCTTGTGAGCCTGAAACAAGCTGCTGCAAAAATAAGAAAATGATCCAAAACCCATTTGGACATGTCAAAAGGACTGAGTTGCTGGGACAGTTTGAGGTAGAAAATAATACCGAGGGAAATGCATTACAATACATTTAATAACGAAAAGAATCCCCAAAGGCAGAAGGAGAGAAGAAAATTTCTTCAAAGAAGAGTGTGGACTCTCAGGACGGAATGACAGAAAGTCACTATTTTGCAGCACCCAGTGTAATAACTGGGTCAGGCAGAAGCTATTAGTGCTAAATCACCAGCTGAAATGACGCTGGGGAGCGGGTGATCACACGGCACCAAAGTACCACTCCCATGCTGTTTTCAATTTCAGAAGAACAAAGGCAAAAGCCAGATCTTGGCACTTTTCAGATCTGAGCCAGAAGATCAATGATGGAGCAGCTTCAGTAAGAGAAGGACAAACAGTGGTCACATGCCTCCGAGCTGATGCAGTTTCATGTAGGTATTGCTTTTTGCTCCAAATGCTTGACCTGAATCTAAAACCGGATAATGAAACTGAGAAAGATTGACTGTGGGGTGAAGAAATTAGCTGCTAGGATGCTTCAAAATAAGCCTCATGAACCTCCAAATTAGTGGAGGGCCTTCTCTGGTTGACAGAGTAAACGGGCATGCCAATTAAAGACAATGCATGCCTTTTAAAAGTAAGCCTCATATTTTAAATACTTGAAAAAAGCAATTGGACACCTGGAGACTATCTGTTTATGGTCTGGGTGCTGCTGTCCTATGAGGGCTATATATACTTTTGGGGAGTGGGTAACAGAACTTTAGTCATATGAGAAGATATGCTGGTCCTCAGGAGGAGGCTGGAGGGAAGGCCAGGGAGATTGGAGGAAGCACTGCCTTCTCTTCCCCTCACCTGTTTCCCCATGAGATCAGTTAATGCCATGGCTGGGAAATGCTCAAATCACCCAGTACTGTGATTTGACTTGCATTAAGTTCAATTTGTATTGGAGACAATTTGTCAGATCCAGGCAGAGGTTGTATACTTTGTATACTTGAGATTCAGCTCCCTAGAGAGGCTTTGGAATCGCGAACACAGCCTGGGACAGCCTTTGCTTACTCTTTGATGTAAAGGGTCTGGAAGCTGACCTGCACTATCCAGGAGCTGGCCTGGGACAATGGTGAGTGAAACTTTTTCTTATGCATGCCTCTGATAGTCACATGGTGCCTTCCTCTGAACTTTATCTCCCCAAACCCTGACAGCTGGACACTTCCTGAGGTGAGCACTCCGCCCTTCTGTAGCCTAGTGAGGAATCATGAAATGCAGGAAAACAAGGAAGGCCACCCTTCCAGTCAGTCAGCAGTCTTGGACCGCCCAGCCTTTGTCTCGGACTCCGCAGTCACAGACCCACACACTCTTGCTTGAGGCCTGGAAGACGCTTTGGGATTTCAGATGCTCCCTTATTTTTTTTTTTAAATATAATTTTTTATTGAAAAAAAAATTTCCGCCTCCTCCCCGCCTCCCATTTCCCTCCCCGTCTCCCTTTTCCCCCCTCCTCCCTCTCCTCTCCCCCTCCCCCACTCCTCTCCCCCTCCCTCTCCAGTCTGAGGGGCAGTCAGGGTTCCCTGTCCTGTGGAAAGTCCAAAGTCCTCCCCGCTCCATCCTGGTCTAGGAAGGTGGACATCCAAACTGGCTAGGCTTCCACAAAGCCAGAACATGAAGTAGGATCAAAACCCAGTGGCATTGTCCTTGGCTTCTCAGCAGCGGGATGTTTGGGATAAAGGAAGGTTGGATACGGGAGCAGGGAAGCACACATCTTAATTAAGGGAGCCATCTTAGGGTTGGCAAGAGATTTGGTGCTCCCAGGTGCCCAGGGCGATGTCCCCAGTTAGTTCCTGGGGCAGCTGAGGACAGAGAACCTGAAATGACCCTATCCTATAGCCATACTGATGAATATCTTGCATATCACCATAGAACCTTCATCTGGAGATGGATAGAGATAGAGACAGAGACCCACACGGAGCACCGGACTGAGCTCCCAATGTCCCAAGGAGGAGCAGAAGGAGGGAAAATATGAGCAAAGAAGTCAGGACCACGAGGGGTGCACCCACCCACGGAGACAGTGGGGCTGATCTATTGTGAGCTCACCAAGGCCAGCTGGACTGCAACTGAAAAAGCATGGGATAAAACCGGACTCTCTGAATATGGCGGACAATGAGGGCTCCCTTATTTTTTTTTCCTTTCAATATTTTATTTTTAAATTTTTACTTTTTTACTCCAACTCAGCCTGCTTTCCAATAACACAATTAGACCAGAAATATTCTGTAAATTGGAGGAATTAAAATTAAGTATTCTAGTTTGGAACCGTCTTCCAAGATCAGTACTTTCAAATGTTTAGATCTGCCTAAAATAAGCAAAATCCATGTTTCTTTGTTAAAAAAAAATTCCCCGATATGTTATATTAATAGTATGTTCACTTCACACCAGGTTCTCTGGCAGTTAAAGAGATAATCAGAGTTACTTGAAGAAGCAGAAAAAGTCCACAGTGTCTACGAGACAAAAATGACAGCTCACATCCATAAGATATGACCAGTTTGCATGAATTATTTTAGCTACACTGTATAAAACTGCCTGGAAAATTTCCTCGTGAAAAGCTAGCATGAGATTTACACTTGTATGCAGAGAATACTGACTCATACAGTACAAGGACTGCTCTCCTGAACTTGGGGTCTGGGACTCAGCACAGCCTCCTGTGCACACTGACTTGCCGGAAACTATCCACACAACTGTGAAAATCGTGACAGTATATAGTAAGGATGACGTCCAGGTCCAGGTCCAGATCCAGGTCCTCCTCCCAGGCTGGAGAACAGCGCAAGCCATTGTGTGAAGCTGGGTCTCAGGGCCACCCTGGAGAACAGAGAACTGAACTCTCTATTCTACTACTATAATATCCTATGATTTTTGAGGAAAGAAAATCATCCTCAGGCGACCTCAGCATCCATTAGAAGATGCCAATAATATGTGCTGCAGTTATTTCTCATCCGGGTAAGGTGAAGACGGATGAGTTAATGCCTGCAAAGAGCTCTGACTTCTCCAAAAAAGCACTGAAAATCTATTATATCATCATTTCATCTGCACCAAGGAGGCTTTGAAGTCACATTTGCTTCCATCTTTCAAATGTCAACTGAGATTATTATGAGTATATCAAAAAATGCAAATGGCACAGGAAAGTGAAGAAAGATGGGGAGATGTGAGGGAGCACAGAATTAATGCATAATGTCAAATGTGCAGCTGGCACCTAACTCCAATAAGTGAAAGGCATAATTCCTGCTCCTCAGAATTTAATAATCAAACCAACTAACCTCATACAGGTAAACAGAAAGCGACCAGCATAAATATGTGGGGTGAAGGAGTTAAAAGGACCTTTACTGCAGGATGCTAAGCTACCTTCCTCAGATCAGAGGAGCAACGAGAAAAGGAGCCTTAGGGTTTTCATTGCTGTGAAGAGACGCCACGACGACAGCCACTCTTATAAAGAAAACATTTAATCGGGGTGGCTCGCTGACAATTTCAGAGGTTCAGTCTATTATCATCAGGCAGATGTGGTATTGGAGCTGAAAGTGCTACATCTAGCAGGATAGTTGACTGAGACACTGGGTGGTATCCTGAGCATAGGAATCCTCAAAGCCCATCCCCTAAGCGACACACGTCCTCCAAACAAGGCCACACCCACTTCAACAAAGCCTCCTAATAGTGCCATTCCCTATGAGACTATGGGGGCCAATTACATTCAAATTACCATAGAAGGAAAAAGAAAAATGGGAGACATTCTTGTGAAAAACCAAATCAGAACTGTTGAAAGAACAAACTTGTCTGCCTACGATTTGAATCAATCTATTTACCTGGTTCTACCCCAGCCTATTTATGACTCATGATTATGATGACTTGCCATCAACACCAGAAGGACAGATCTCACCTGTGATCACTAACTACTTACAGACAAACAGGCTATTTCATGTGGCTGCAGCATCTGGATTAAGTTTTCCTGTTGGGAAGAGATGTAAGTTTGAAGATACAGAAGCCGTGAAAATCACTGTTCTACTGTGGATTGAGACATGACAAGAAGTAACCACAGAAACCATGTTCTGTGGCCCTAAGAGAAGAGGGAGGGAGATCCTGCAAGTCCCCTCTACAGACATTGTTGCCACCCTTAGAGGTAACATAAGAAAATGCGCTCTCACACACCTCGAAACTGATTTCTCAGAGCCTATAACTTTCCCTGTGGCACTTACGATATAACGGTGGCAGTTGTACTCACTTACATTAACTGTTCACTTGTCCTCGTGTTCTACCTTAACATAGGATGTGTGATCTGGAACAACCTTACCTACTAGCTTCAAGGCTTACCACATGCAAAGACAAAGCTGTTCCTACCTCTGCTCACTTCAGTAGCTGGACTTAAGGTTCTACTTTCCTCCTGCACCATATGGCTTGGGCAATGTCTAGAGTCAGCCGTCTAATCCACACACTTTATTTCAAGGTGGGGGAATAAGTCCAGATACCTTACTAATCTTGGACACAGCAGTGCAACTAAGTCTCCAGACTCTGGTGTTCTGTCCTCTTTACCACAGCACAGTCTGTGTCTTCACCAGAGAAACCGGGGAGCTGATTTGGATTAGTTGATCAAAATTAAATGGCCTGTATTACTTATTACTTAAATTAGTTGAAAAATATAACTGTGTTTTTAAAGTTTTTTTTCAGTGCCTGTAGACTGACTTAACATTTTAGGTTTGCGGCCTGGAGCACAAATGACTCATTAGTGTCCCGAGACCATGGGATTCAGACACAAAGTCTTTAACTGAGGAACTTTATACTGAATATTTTTATTATTTTTTTCAATACCAGTTTCATTGTAAAATACTGAAGGATGTATTATTCTCAGTTCTAGAAAATATTGGCTAAAGTAGTCTTAATCATCTTTATAAGGAAGAAAGAAGTCATAGTTGCTAAGTTCAGGCTCAATATTCAGATTTCAGTAAAAATACTTTGCTACATCTATAATATAAACATTCCATAAAAATTAAAGGGGTGGGAGATGGTTCAGTGGTTAAGGGCTATTCCAGAGCACCCAGGTTTAATTTAGGAACCAACATGGCAGCTCACAAGTGTCTATAACTCAAGTTCCAGGGGATCAAACACCCTCACAGGAAAAACACCAATGTATATAAAATAAAAATAAACCAGCTATTAAAAAATTAAAGATGAAATTCAGTAGTCTATCTTCACTTTTCAACGTTGGAAAAGCATTTCATGATACAAGAAGGAATTATTGCAAGTCTTTACTTGTAATTCTAGGGATATAAATGCTGTTATTAGAAAAGAGGTAAAAAAATTCATTGCAACTAAAAGAATAAAAATGAAGGTTTTCAAAAAATTTCTCATTAATGTCAATGAAATAAATTGGAATTTGGAGAAAGGAAATTTTAATATTGAAAATATTTCATCAAAGCTGAGCTATACTGTCTTTTTGTACAAACTGGAATGATGATAAGCCGTCACGTCCGAGGCTCAGAAATCCTAGCTATTGCATTTGACATCCTATGGCTCGTGTTTCTGTCAAGGTGAAAATTATCTCTAAGATTAAAGTATTCCTTTTCATTGGCGAGGCTGTATAATACAGTTGGATCCTACAGACGAGGATCCTACAGATGCTGCTCCTGAGTTCAGGTGTCTGACAGAGTGCTTCAGGTGTGCCTTGCTGCCCCTCCTTCCTGCAGCCCCTTCTCATTCAGGCCTGTGGCCAGAGAGTGGTGGAGCTCATCTTGCTTCAGGGTTTTCATTATTCCTGATTTATTTTGTTCAGTACTGAAATACTCATCAGCAGTCAATAAAGCTTCTTTACTACTTTTGTCATTTCAGTGAACCATTATCTTCTATTTTAAATTTCTGAATCAAAGAGAAATAGCTGCTTTAAAAATTCTTCCAGAAACTCCGGCTTCTCTTTGGAGTAATATTTAGCCTTGCATGGCTTTTGCAGCATGTAGTGGAGGTGGTAGGTGTTAGGAGCAATCATGGTAGCTTACATAAATGATTTCACATGTGACAAAAACTGTACTGTCAAGGTGAGAAACAATCTTCTAAGTGTTAGGTATTAAATACGTTGGACCTTATGATATGCATCAGGCTTAATGCTGCAGCCTCCAGATGCTCACGTGTGGAGCTTTAGTGCACTAGATCACATGGTACGGTATGCTTCACAGGTAACGGGCTCACTCCTTAACAGTGTGGTGGGCTGCAGCTAGTACAACCACTAGACACGGAGCCTGTGAAAACTGCATGCTTGCTGTGGTGCGTGATAGACGCACGCTGCTGGCTTCTAAGCTGAGGAAGAGAAGGATCTAGGTTCTGTTTTGGTTTTGCCACAGATCCAGTGAATAGAGGAATGTACGCAATTCCCCGTTAAGAGGCCACTGTGACTACATGAAAATATTAAAGTAACTGATTAACTTCCGTCTGGTTTCCTTCAGCATGGTGATTTTACGGTACTTCAGGGCTAAGGGATAGCAACTGAAATGAGAACAGAAATGCCATATCTTGCCATGCTGCCTTTCCTTAAAAAGAGTACAGAACATTCTAGTCGGGTGCTTTCAATTGCCACTTAGGATGACATTTCTATTCCTTCCATGTCCTGGGAATATTTTAACATTTTGTGAAAATATTACCATTGTCCACTCAGTATTCATATGGTTTATTACGTAGGGGAGCAACCTGTTAAGGGTGGAGTGGAGACTTGTATGTAAGGTGGCAAAGGACTTTAAATTACATTTGTGGTCATTTTCTTTAAGTCTATTGTGAAAATTTTCCCATACTGTGCTGGATTTTGTTATGTTTATAAATAAAGGAGCAGACTGACTCTTAACACTGCAGTGATGTGGGAAGGCTGGAGTATTACAGGTCTAGAGGCCAATTATCTATTCGCAGGTTAGTTTTACCCTAAATCGTTATTTCCTGCCCACATCTGTGTCTGAATATCCTGTGGCTAGGATAAAAACCTTTTGGAATCTATTGGCCTATTAGATCACTAGCTTCCACCAACCCCTAAGCTAAGATTGTCAGCAGAGAGCATCTCAGGCCTGTAGAACAGCCTCCTCTATCTTGCTGTTACTGCCTATCTGATGCACCCATAAATGTATTTTAAACTTCCCTTGATCTATGACTTTGTTTGTTCTGTAAAAGCATAAAACTTCATGACACTGCTTCCACGTGGCCCCATGTAATCTAAGGTGCCCTAAATCTGTGTTCCCAGGTCACAGCCATTCAGAATGGCTCACCAATAAACTCTTACTCCTTGTAAGGTGAGAGCTGTGGTTTTTGCATCAACAGCTGTTTTCCATTCACACTGGAGCTATTCTTGATCAGCATACTGTGACAGTTTTAGAAATCCCACTTATCCAGGGAATTCCGAGAATTCTCCCTCAGGGTTCACACTAGCACAAAGTATCAACACTGAACATAATTCTTCCCTACTCTACTCTCTCTCCGAAGACACATGATCGCAGGCCAATGAGCTGGCATCCCTGGTCCACCTGTGTAATTAACATTGGGTTTGGGACCAACTTCACTTGCCATATTTATTGAACAAATAACTGAAACCTTGAGTATGACTGACTGGAGCCTATAATATTAAGTTGGACTTGGCCTTTCAATTTTGTTCTGTGAGCATCTGGAAGATTCACCAAGAGAACCACAGTCCTTTTGTATTCATTTGCCCCAAGTTCAGGTAAAAAGTTTTAGCTGATATCACAGATCCCTCTCTCAGAGCTTGGCATTTCCTTAAGCAGTTTGCTTCTGATGGAAACATAAAAGTCTTGGGTTTTCCAGAGTTTACTTAATGTTGCATCCAAGATATCTTACACAGACATGTCCAGAGCACAAGGAACACGGGATACACCCAGTCCTATTTGTTTCCTGAAGCTCAGGTCCCAGGAGGGAATCCAGGCTCTCTCTGCGTCCTGGCTTGTGCAAGCTACATTTGTTGTGTGAGCCAGGGTGGTAAAGAGCTTCAGGTATTTTCCCCACAAATTGGTCTCTTTGCTATGTGAATTTTGATGGTGGTTTTCTCTTAATCTTTACTCTCCTACGATGGCAGGCTCTCATTTTGGCATAACATTAATGGGGAAGTAACAACTCCCAGTTGACGAAAGGTGCCTTCTCTTCTTCGATGTAAAAAGCATTTTCTACATGCTTCAGTGGATTTACTGCTGGTGGAAACACCCCATTAAAATTTCTCATCAGGCTGTGATGAAAAGAGAACTGTGTTATGTGAAGAGAGGCAGAGTGAAGGTTTACCATATGATCAATCAATGGCAATGCACCCTTGTTTCTCTTATCTGCTAGGAGCAAGGGAATTTTTGAAATAGTAACAATCTCCAAATATTCACTTTCTGCCAACATTTATCATGTCTTAGAGTACACATTTATAGGGTGAAATTCTTAAACTCTATGAAGCCTAAATAACTAGTACAGGTAAAAAGGCAGGTTCTGGGCAGTTCTGTAGTATAATTCACTTTAATATGTCATTATTTGAACTCTGCAATTCCATATTTGAAAAAAAAAACTGCAGCGTGACTGACATAGTGATTACAAGATCAACGAAAAGGAAAGAACACTGGATCCATTACATACATGCGTGGAGTTGTTAAATGAAGTAAATCCGTGATAATTAAAAAAAAGATATAAATTAAAAAAGTCTAGTCCCAAGTAGCTGTGAAGGTTTAGATAAAACCTTCAGAACCTACTGACTTGGCAGACCATTAGCTTCCTAGTATGTCTGGCCAGAGCTAATACCATACAGATACGAAGACAATGAAAGGCGGGTTTTAGTTTCTCTCCTTTGGTCACTGTTCTGAAAGAGAGACTGGCTTGAAGCATCATTTTCACAGTCAGAGTTTGTCTCTTCTAAGGGTCAGAATAATAATGTAGACACTGTCTTCTTCAGTGCTCTGGTGGAAATCCATGACGTCGTACATCCAAACACATACTACCACTGAACTAGCCAGCTTGTGTTTGCGGCACACACATTAGCATTTCTCTGTTCCCTCCCGCTACCTCTCCTGCTACAAGAGCAAAGGAGACTCTTCTCTCTAGTGCCATGGATGCCTGTTGTTCCAGGCTTCTTGTGACTTTGATTGCTGCTTTCTCTGTGCTGTATCTTCAGGTGTACTCACCTCTCACTGCAGTTAGATGCATTCAGAACTGTCACACACTAGCCTCTTTCACTCAGGGCCTACACCAAAGCCTCTGCTATCTATCTGTCTCTTCCTCATTTCAGAGCCTAACTATTGTAATTACTTCTCAACTCTTCACTCCCTATAACCATTCCCAGTCTGCTGCAATGCAAGTTCCACATTGATTACTCAACTATACTGTACTAAGATCACCAAGGGCTTTGTTTTCACCAAATATAATGTGTATCCTAAGTGTCCGATGTGATTGACCATGAGGAAGAATCTGATACTTTTGGGCTTCTTAGCTTCAGAAACGACCAAGCTAAGCTTGTAGCTTTACTAGGATTACCTTCACTGCAATCTGAGGGACACATGATGCAATATCACTTCTGTTTTGGAAACCCAGAGGGGTAACTTATGTCCTGAGATCACACAATGTTCTTCCTTCTCTGAGATAGCATCAGCATCCTATAACAAAAATATCCTGTCATTAACATGAACCCAGAAACATAAGCTACTGTCTGCTGTATTCTGGGTATCACTATTTCTGCCCCCTAAAGAAGTGCCTGGACACATAGAATAAACCTAATGAATAAGGTCATATATATATTCAGATAATTATTCGGTTGGAAGTCACGGTCAGCTTTAAAAGCAAGTAGGGCCTTTAAAATCACTTCAACCTTGGAGTCCTCCAGAGGATTTTACCTGATTACATTGAATTCAGTGAGGAATAAAAAAAGCCCATCTCGTTTCTACCACACCCACTTAAATATCTTTAAACAGGAAGACATACAGTGTTACTTGGTGTATCTAGCATTTGCCTTTATCACAGCTGATGATATTAGTTTGTGGTATGAGTTGAGCAGTTGAATCTTCTGTTTCCCATTATTTATGTGTATAAATGCCATGAGAGGGGTCAGGAGGGTGTGCTGAAGTTCCCATGAAAGCTAAATGAGACACTCCTTACAAATGAGGTCCTACATTAGACAGGGGACACGTCACAACCCTACAGAGCTGAGGAAGATACCAGAAAATAGAAGTGGAAGTGTGGGTGCCTTAAAGGACAGGAAAATGGAAAGGCTGAAGTTTGGGAAGTTCACATCAACAGAAAGTGCTGAATTCAATAATCACAAGGACTTCCCAGCTCTGTGCAAAGCAAAGAAGGCAGGCTTATTTCGGCCTGGAGAATATCTTTGATACCTGTGACCTGAGACCTGCTTGGCTTCCACAGTCTCCAAAGGGGAAAGTGGTATTGCATGTTACAAAACAAGGAAACGGCTCCAGGCACAGATAATACTGCAGCCCTTTGCTGGACTAGATTATTGAACGAATGTCCAACTAATCATGCTCAAGAGCAAAGTTTTTCTTTTCAAAGAAGAGAGCCTTACTTTTGTGTTAACTTGGTGACATGTATATCACACAGCAGATGAACCAGGAGATGCTGAGTATTTTCCCAATGGGTATCTACCAGCAGATCTTTGAGACAGCCTTGAGTGATATGAGATTTTGTCCTTGGGCAATCTCATTCAACTTTGTTCATCTTATGTGCGCACAACAAAGTACTAGGAAAGCAAAATGAAAGAAGCAGAAGCAAGACTCAGAATGATTTTAAAGAGCTCCAGGAGTGAGCCACAGCACTGTATAGGGTGAGTTTTATGGTATATGAATTATACGTTAATAAAGCTGCTTGCATACATACACGCATACATTAATATAAATACAATTATGTAAGATAAAACAATAAGAGGATGTTTAACTCAAATTGTAAATAAAGCCACATGTGTGAGTGAAAAGCTCACACCTCACAAAGGACAAATTAATTGGTGACAGCAATAGCAGAAGAGCAGGTGAGTTCAATGTATGCCAAGAGCACAGTCTGCGGGGCTGCAGTCTCCTAAGTCCTAGACCCTCAGCATCTACTGTAACAACTACTACAGAGCAGGCATATAAAAGTCACACTTAAATAAGGACACTACACAAAGTAACAGGACAGAAATGCTCCAAAACTCACATATTCTAAAGTAGGCAGTGTTAAATATGGGAGCTTCTTTTTCGATTAAGGAACCAAGTCTATCTAGCAATCAATAAACCAACCAACCAACCAACCAACCAACCAACCAACCAACCAACCATCTAACCAAGCAAGCAAGTAAGAAAGCAGCCAACCAACCAACCAACCAACCAACCAACCAACCAACCAACCAACCAACCAACCATCTAACCAAGCAAGCAAGTAAGAAAGCAGCCAACCAACCAACCAACCAACCAACCAACCAACCAACCAACCACTCAATCTACAGGCCAAAATAAACAACACTAACAGCTAGCAACTGTCTTCGAGTTAGCGAATTATGTGGGAAATGTGATTGTTTTTTACCTTATTCATTTTCGACTTAATATTTTTGTCCTTCATGATTATAAAATGAAGAAAAAAAATCCTGTGCTGTTCCCTTTCTACCCCAAGACAGTTTGGAAGATACAGAATATACATCCATTTGATAAGTATATTTTAAATATGCTATTCTGAATAATTATTTTGTTATATCATTTTAAATATATGCCCTTTCTGTCCAATTAGATAGTTCTCGACATCCTGACTAGAAAAATGGTATTTTATTTGTCTGTCATAGTCTGACATTCAGGACAGCAGTACATAATTGTCATCTCTCACACATTAGGACAACTGAATTAGATAAAAGAAGAATTGTAATCTACATAGTTACTCTATGATGGAGGAAGGTCATTGGCTAATAAAGAAACTGGCTTGGCCCATTTTATTGGTTAGAACATAGGTGGGTGGAGTAAACAGAAGAGAATGCTGGGAGGAAGAGGAAATGAGGTCAGAAGTAATGCAGCTCCTCTCAGAGCCAGACCCCTCAGACAGAGAGGCATGCTCCACTCTCCCAGGCAGATACATGCAATGAAGCTCCTCCGATCCAGGATGGACGTAGGCTAGAATCTTCCCGGTAAGCGCACCTTGGGGTGCTTACACAGATGATTAGAAATGGGCTAAA